CCAAATAGTCAAACACCAAATTAAAATAAAAATAAATTAAACGAATAAAAATAATCAAAAAAAAGTTGGGAATTTAAATTTTAAAAGCAAATGGCCCAGTCCTTAAGCAAAGGAAAAAAAAAAAAACCCCCAAATGGCCAGGGAAGGCCTTTTCCCCCCCAACCCAGGAAAATTCCCATGGAAAAAGAACCCCCCCCCTGGGGGGGGGGGCCCAAGGGACCGGATTTAAAAAAAAAGCAAAAAAAAACCAAGAAATTTCCGGGGGAAGAAAGTGAAAAGTTAGGTTAAATGCCCATTTAATGGGAAAAACCCCATGGAAAAATTGGGGAAGTGGGGGCCAGAAAAGGGGAGAAAGGAAGGAAAAGGGAGGGGAAAAAGAAAAAAAAGGGAAAAAGCCTTTTCCAAAAAAAAAAAGTGCCAACCCAATGGGGGGAAAAAAAATTCCCCCCCCCCCCCCGGATAGTTCTTTAGGGGCCCCCCCCTATTAGGCAGCCAATAAAATATTTAAATAAAATATAAATAAAATTTAATAGTATTAATTGGGGATAAAAGCCCAAATGAAGAAAAAAAAAAAAAAAGGACAGCCCCCAACTTTGGCCAAAGTAAAACGTCCCCCAAAAAAAAAAACCCTCCCATTTTTGGCCCTCCCCGACCCAAAAAAACTGTCAAAAACGGGGTGGGGAAACCCGACCCCAAAAAAAAAACTTTTGAAAAAAAAAAAAATGGTTTTTCCTTGCAACAAAACCCCCCAATTGGTTTGAAAAAAAATGGTCCATGAAAAAAAAAAAAATGGGGGGGGGTTTTAAAAACACAACCTTTTGATTACCCCAAAAGAAATTTGCTTAAATTTTTTTTGTGGACCCCGTGGGGAAAAAAAAAATGGGAGGACCTTCAAACAATTACCTAAAATCTTTTTTTTTCCTGGGGCTTTTTCTTTGGAAAAAATTTGTTTTGTTTTTTTTTTTTTTTTTTCCGGGGGGTGGGAATTTTATTGTAAAATTGTCATGAAGGGGAGAAAAATTAGGAAAAAAAGGGAAGGCCCAGAGGAACGCACCACAAAACACAACCCAAAACCAAAGGTTTAATTTTTTTTTGTTCCCACAAGAAAAAACAAAGGGCCTTGGTTTTCTTTTGAGGGTAAATTGCCCCAAACCACAATTTTCCCCCCCATGGTAGCTTTTTTAAAGAAAATTAAGCCGCCCAATCCTAAGCCCCCCCCCCTTTGTGGGGGGTTTGCCAAGTGGCCCCAGTTAAAAAAAAAAAAATTTCCTTTTCCCCCATCCCATTTAAAAAAAAGTTGGGAAAAAAAAAAAAAATCAGTTTTTTTTTTTTTTTTGGGGTGGCCCCC